AAACCATAAAGTGTTAAGTAGATCAGAAATATTTTTAAGTTTTAAACTGTGTAAGTTGCATTTTAAAATGTAGAGGTGTGGGACTATCATAACATAAGAAATAAAATATATTTTACAGCAATTTTAATCTTGCATTATACCTGATTTTAGTAAGGCAGGATAACACAGAGTATTAGAGTAAGTACAACAGAATGCTGTAGTTAAGAACTTTTAAGCAAAATCAAAGTATGTTAATCACAGAATTTTACAGAGCATCACCTAGTGGCATAAAAGTCAATATGGAGGTTAACTGGAAATTGCATATGGCATGAAGAATTTAGTACTTTTAAACACTTAAAAAATACATTAATCTTCATATATCAGAGCACAGGCATATTAATCTGGTAAAATAAATCCTGATGCCTCACTTCACAGATGAATTCTTATGAATCAGAACAAAACATTGTCTGTCTAGGTGTTACTCTACAATAAAAATATTTTTAAAAAAAAAAACCTTAAAACATCAAAGTTAAGGAAGCTTAGCATGGTGGTACAAACCTGTAATCCCAGCTACACAGGAGGTGGAGATTGGGAGGATCGGGGTTCAAGGCCACACTGGGCAAAAATTTAGCAAGACTCTACCTAGAAAAACAAGCCGGGTGTGATAGCACATGCCTGTTATCCCACCTATGTGGGAGACATAGGTAGGAAGATAACAGCCCAAGGTCAGACTGGGCAAAAGTGCAAGACCCTACCTAATGAATAACTAAAGCAAAAATGGGGCAGGGCTGGGGGCAGGGTTCAAGTGGTAGACCACCTCCCTAGCAAGCATGAGGCCCTGAGTTCAAACCTACAGTACTGCTGAGGAAAAAAAACATCAAAGTTAATACCACTAGAAAATGGAAGGAATCAGTACTCCTGCTGAAAGGTGCACAAATTGAATGTAATCAAGAGGAAACATTGAACATACCCAAAGTGGAGGAGTTTTTGCAAAACAATTGCTGAAAAATGTCAGTCAAGAAAAATGGAGAAAAAATAAGGAAGTGCTATCGACCAAAAGATGACAAGAGATAGTAATTGGACTGGGGGTGTAATTAGGTTATAGGGCACTTGCCTAGCATAGGCAAGGGCCTGAGTTTGATGCACAGCGCCACAGAAAACACAACCTAAAACCAAACCAGAGATATAGATGGATGGATGAATAGATTCAATAGGTAGGTAGGTAGGTAGATAGACAGATAGATAGATAGATAGATAGACAGATAGATAGATAGATAGATAGATAGATAGATAGATAGATAGATAGATAGATAGAGACAGAAGATAGATAGAAAGATAGACTGATTGATAGATGATAGATGATGGAAGATATGATGGATAGACAGGTAGATAAACAAAAGTAGTTCTTGAACTTGACTTAGATCTAGACCCAGAACATACACTTGTGCCTTTATCTGTGTTAAGACTGGAATAGGATCTGTAGACTAGATAAAGGTGTTACATAAATATTGATTTCTGTGAAAAAACTGAACCGTAAAATGTAAGAGAATGTTTTGGTTCTTAAGAAATACATACTGAAGAAATTAGTCATAAGAGTAAGTTTTAACTTACTCTCAAAAGGTTCATAAAATATGTGGAGAGAATGCTACAGCAAACGGGGCAAAAAATGTTAACAAGGGGGAAATTCTCTACAGGAGCTCTTTCTACTGTTCTTGTAAACTTGAAATTATTCCAAAATAAACACACAAAAATATTTTTTAAATTTATAACTGGAACACTAAAAAACCTACAATCTTTAAGATACTTTTAGGCTTCATATCTAGAGAGACCACTTACATGTCTATTTAAGTAGTTTATAAACTTAGTCTAAAATATGAACAAATTGAACTTTTCATTCAATTCAATGGTTTCCACTAGAAACTGTAAAATGGTGTCTCTCATTTTATCAATTATACATATAATCTAGATCTATAGATACATGAAAGGAAAATATCACTGCACTTTGAATATTCACTAGAAAGATGTTTAGAATGTTGCTTTTTACAGTTATTTTTTTCCTTCCACAATCCCTTAATGGTCTACTTTTTTAATTCTCATAATCTGTAACTGACTTCAGGTTTGCTTTAAAGTATTCCTTGCCAGAATGTTGTCTGGTAAGTGTGCCCTGATGGAAATAACAAAACTTTACCACATCATGTTACCAACACGCTGTATTTTGTTAAAGTTCAGATAATTATTTTGCAGTGTGATTTAATAGCCATTAACCTAGTAATTATGTCAAAGGTTTGTTGTGTAAGGTAGAGAAAGAGAAGACAGGAGGAAGATATTAAGTCCCTGCAACAGTACCTGGCACACAATTGGCAGGTACGGGAAAGGATTATTGAAAAATTCTGTATCACTAGCAATGTATCACCACAAACCATGGGTAGAAGATAATTAGATGCTTCCAAATCTAAACAGGTGCTGGGCGCTGGTGGCTCACGCCTTTCATCCTAGCTACTTGGGAGGCTGATATCTGGAGGACTGAGGTTTAAGGCCAGCCTGGATAAACAGTTCCCAAGACCTGGAGGCAGGGCTCAAGTAAGTGGTAGAGCACCTGCTTTGCAAGCTCAAAGCCCTGACCCCAGTCCCACAAAAAAAAAAAAAAAAAAAACCTGCCACGCAAAAATAACACTTCTGAAAATACAGAGATGTCAAATAACAAACATTTCTGGAAAAAATGATTTTCTTATGTTTATTTTGGCATGCTTTTTTGGTAAGCTATAGCTATCAGGATTGTATTAATATCAAATTAATACATTGAAAATAACTTTAAAACTTGTATATTATCCAATATATCAAACTACAAAGTTATGAAAAACTAAAATCAACCAGAATTTTAGCGAATGTCACCAAATACAGGTAGTGAGTATCAAGGTTTCCTTATGCGTGTTTTGCAAAGTCTATATGATTGGATTCAACTTCTATTTGATTTGAGCCCTGACTCGCCTACTAAAAGTGGTCACAGGAAACAGTGCAAAGGAATTTCAAATAGATTTTCTTTTGAAAATAGTGCTTTATTTTCTACACAAGTGACAGTTTAGAACTATGGTCTATATGCAAGCTAAATCTACAGTTTAGATATGTTTTGAGTATATTAATGTTGTCAACAAATAGCTTAACGTGTTTTCATTTTTATTAAAGATAATCACAATTCCTATTTCACTACTTGAAAAAAAAGTATTACAGCTGCTTGGCAGGGAGTAAAAGACAAATTAGTGCAAATTTTAGGAATGTGATAAAAAATATTTCTCATAAGACAAGTATTTAACAAAATGAATATGTGAATTTCTTATGTATGTTACCAAAGGTGGAAGAACTCCTTGAAAAATTCTGCCAATAAAAATTCAAGACAAGAACCGATCAAGTAGTGTAAAACCAGAATGAGCTCTAGCAATTTGAGAATTAGTGAGCTAATACATACTGCTCATTTAACATTCAAATCCAGAGGAAACATTAAATGTAATGTAACAGAAAGTAGCACCTTTAAAAATGAAGTTATTGAAACCAAGTTTGCAAAACTGTTCGCAACTCCAAATCTCTACATGAAAAAAATTAGTAAAGGACACAGTAACGCATAATTAAGCAATTTTGAAAAGTGTAATGTAACACACTGGTTGTAAATGTAAACAATACAGAACATTTAAAGCCAAAATTATACTTAGATATCAACAGTAGGCAGAAAAAGTTCCTTTTCTTTTAAAATCACGCATTTAATCTCTCTCTAAACTTGGTCAGTAAATTAGCACATTTTAATATGGAGGGAGAATTTTTAAAGGATCAACTTAAGAATTAAAGCAGTAGTGAAGTATGTTCAAGTGTATTTCTTTAATAAACATGAGGAAAGCAGCTTTATTAAAGACTTTTTGCACCTGGTGCCAGTGGTTCATGCCTGTAATCCTAGGTACTCAGGAGGCAGAGATCAGGAGGATCATGGCTCCAAGCCAGGCTGGGCAAATAGTTCACGAGACCCTATCTCAAAAAACCCATCACAAAAAAGGATATTGGAGTGGCTCAAGTGGTAGAGCACCTGCCTAGTAAGTGTGAGGCCCTGGGTTCAAACCCAGTACTGCCAAAAAAACAAAACAAAGATGACATTCAGAGTGCACTTCAGACGGTACTTGTAAAATTCTAGTTATCTAAGTACCACGAGGGGTGACCCTAACAGGACTTTTATAACTCCACGGTACACAATAGCCTATCTCGGCCATAAATCTGAGCATGACATTATGAGCACCCCACAGAATTTCTTTTACCAGTGGACAAAGTAGATATTTATATTCTTCCTGATGTCTTAAAAGCCTTGCAGTTTGAAAAGGTTATCTTTGAGTGGTTAGTTCAAATAAAACTAAATTTGCTTAATACTGATAGTATTATCAGTGGCTGAGAAAGATTTACAAAACAGTTGGGGTATAGATCAGTGGTAGAGTTCTTGCCTAGCATGCACAAGGCCCTTGGCTCTATCCCCAGCACCATGAAAAAGAAAAAAAAAGAAAGAATATTTCCCAATTGTGCATCTCTTTGACTACTTTTATGTTACTACTTTACATTAAAAGCTTTACCCTAGCAAATTATATTCATAATACCAAATATCATTATTAATCATAAATGCTGCCTTAACTTGAAAAGATTGTGAATTTCAACACATTATTAATAAGTTATTGTAATTTTTATTTACTTTCATTTATTAATATCGCATAAATGTGACCAGAAGGTATCATGTTAGAGTATTAAACTAATTCTAAAATATTGATTTTAAAAGCCTTGAGCATATGCTGCAAAAATAAATTAGTAAAACTAACAAAAGCTTTTTTTCCAAGTAACACACCCGATTATTTGCTGAGTAATCAACAACTAGAGTTGCTAATATTTATACAGTTCTTGTAAAAAAAAAAGAGAGAGAGAGTAAGACTTGGCACAATATGAAGACAAACACTGGCATGTGTCTCAAGTTATATTTTAAGAAACAATACAATCCGTGATATTTCATGAAGTTGTTTATTAAAACTTGGACTCAAGTAAATCCTGGTTATTCTGGAAAAAGCACCTTATTTGTAGGGATCATTCAATCATCCTTTTCTACAACCACCTCTCCATGAAGCACCTTTCTTCTTTGACGTAGCATATGAAAATAGAGCTGTGGAAACACTTCATTGGAAAAAGAAAACAAAGAAAATAAGCTAATGCTTTAAATTATTTGTTCTCAAAACCTGTAAAGTGTGAGAGTAAGTACATTACCATTAGTATTTATTTACAGACCTTGGTGTATGAACACTAATAGAGGCCCACACATTTCATGTCTAATGTTTTAATGTCATAAACTGTTGGAGGTTTTGCTTTTTTTTTTGTTTTTATCAAACTTAAGATACCTTGATAAATACACCTTCATTATGACCTGGAAGGCTATGTCTAAAATTAGAATTCAGTAATACTTTGAAATGCTGTGCCCCACACTTCTTCCTTCTCTTCATTTTGTTGGACCGTAGGGATCTCATGAGTTCCCTACACACATCCAGGTTCATCCACACATAAACAGTTGCCCCATGTGCACATGCTAGTAACATGGTTAGTCCTCAGGACAGTGGATTAGGCAAGAGGCCTACAAAGACTCTAAGCATGCACACTCAGCAGCTGAGCAAATGATCATCTGTCCAGTCAAATTTGGAGAATATTTTGAGCCAATAGGAACCAATGCTTTAAGTCATAGCATAAATTTTGATTTGAGAACAAACTGACATCAGCTATGAATAATACAAATGTAAAAATATCTTAGAATAACCAAACTAAGGAACTTCATCACCAAACTAAGGAACTTCATCACAAAACAAGCTTTGGATGTTTTACGCAGCTATGAGTAAAAGCTTGTTTGTAGAATAGAGTTCAAACACAGCAAGAATGCAAAACAGGTTTTTGGTTTTTTTTTAATTTAGGTACTTCCAATCTTATAAATGTAGCCACTATGTCATACCTATATTCAGGTCATTTATATGTATAGCTGAGTGACTACTGTAAATACCTCTATAAAATCCTGAGTAGTTTGGCAGAAGATGTGGGCTTGAGTTCAAATCTTGGTGTTACCAGCTGGATGCTTCTTAAGCCATTCACTTAACCTCTCCCACCTGGATATTCTCACCAGTGAATAAGAAATATCACTCGTGTACTAAAACTAGTACTCAACAACTACTTTTAATTAGCAAAGTAAAATTAGTTGATATTTCTGCTAACATAAGTAATGGTAAGGAAGCACAGTGCACTGACTGACAGACCCTGGGGCAAGAGGGAGCTGCAGTAATGGTCAGAACCATAAATTGGAAAGTTGCTATTACCACAGGTCAGAGTCTATGTCCTGTAGGACACTGAAAAACTGTTTAAAGTTATCGATCAGGACCTAGGCTTCTGTGCACAGGATTCAGTGGTCATGAGGAGGGGATATCGATCTCTGCACCTGAAACTCTAGGACAGACACCTATACAGTTCTGGCTCTGCTCAAGGCATGCTACCTTTAACTATAAGGTACTGGAAAAAGCAAGGGGCATAGCAAACAGTATTTCATGCCCCTCCCTAGCTCTCCTGAACTGGCTCAGGTGGGAAATCTGACACAGATTCAGGATAGCATGGTAGAAGATAACCATTTTTATCATTTTTAAAGGAAAAGCTTTAAACCTAGAGACCTTGAGGACCTGGCCATGTTTTATGAAGATCCACTTTAGCGGAGATACTTTATATCATATTAAGTGTTAGAGTCTATAAACTTTCCTCATCTCCTTTCTTCCCCCACTGACATCAGTCTCTAATTTTATTGAAAAGGATGAATAACCTTGCTTTTCTCTCCTATTTCCAGCTAGTGACTATCCAAAATTGACAAAAAAATATATCACTACTAGGACTTAATTGAAGTGAGTGAAGCCTCACAATTCATTGCAATCCTTGAAAGATGATGACAAATTAGTGAAAAGGCTGCTTCATTCAGAATGGTTTAAGAAAAGCAGCTTTATTGTTTTCAAGTACATAGAGCAACACAAATAAGACTAAAAAGTACTCCTTGACAATTTTCCAAGTATGCTTAATGAATAAATAGGCAATGACCTGAAATTTTCTTCAGTAGAATGTTTACATTCAGATACATGATACCAAATGCTTGCTAAAGTTCACTTAGGCATACTTCTCAAATGATTTATTTTTTTTAAAAAATCATACTATGTGCATTTTAAGTGATTTTGAAAAAAGCAACACTTGTGCATTATACTTATCCTTTTTCTCATAGTAAAAAAAATTCTGACTCACTCCTCTTCAATTATTCTAAAGCATGAATCAATGTGGAGTTGAGCAGAAGTTTTAATGTATTCATAAACAATTATTTCAAATTATTTCTCCTTGCTTTTTAAAGCTAGACTAGGGTATCTTTCCAAAAACCTGTGTATCAAAGTACTAATAAATATATACTTACATGGTATATACGAAGCCATGGTTATAAGAAGAAAATAATAGTAGTCAAAAGATACATTGTATTTGTTAGGAAGTCTTATTGAAAACATCCCTGATTTCTTCACATATGGCAATGCAGCATATATTGTAAGAAGCTCACCAGCAACTCCCACAGGATATAAGATGATAAAAAAATTGTATCTGGAGAACGAAAAAAACTCAGAATTATTTTTCTTTCATAATTACTGGATTTTATATCACAGTTCTTTCACTATTACTGTATTTAAACTTAGAAATTTTCCTTTCTGTATGCATTTCCAGTAACCACACAGGTTAATTTTTCTGCTCTAATCATTTGCTTAACATTCTTTTTCTAGTAGTAGCCTCCATTCTAAATGGCCAGATCTTAACAAAAGTAGAAGTCATCTTATTTTACAGTACTGAAAGACTTTTAGACATTTAAAGACTGTATATGCAGTTTTTTTGTTCATTTTTTGAGATGGGGGTTCTTACTAGTTCTCCAGGCTGGTCTCTAATTCCTGGTCTCAATCCTTCTGCCTCAGCCGTCAGAGTCACTAGGACTATGGCTATGTGCCACCAACCCTAGTCATGCAGCTTTGGGGGTTTTTTTGTTTTTGTTTTTGTTTGTTTTTATTGTAGTATTATGAAGCTAGTCACTTATTGATCAAATGGTGTGCTTTAAAAAGACGAATTATGATCCTAATTTTTTTCTAAGCCTTGAAATGACCACAGCAGTTGTTTTAGGAAGTATTTGGAAAACTCTTTGTCATTACTAATAAAAAGTAGTTACTATTGCAGAAAACTGATAACACTACATAAAGCATGAGTCACTGGTAATGAGTACACTATCTAAAACTGCCTTCATATCAAAACAACACAAGTGTTTGACCATCAAGAGTTGGCTTGCTGAAAATAAGAGCTGAGAAAGTTTTTCCAAAGCCCCAAATCAACATTTGTTCAGTTCGTCTGGACTGTGGTAAGGTCTCTAACAGAGTCACAGAGTAGACCAGGCCTCCTTTACGCCTCCAGTAGGGAGCACTCTATTCCTATCTCCAACTGGAAAAACCTAAAGGATCAAAGCAATGACATTTCTCTATTTAGGCTACACTTTAAGTGTTTTCCTTTTTTTTTTGGTGGCACTGGAGTTTGAGACATTTCTCTATTTAGAAAATCATTTTTCTCCAAGTCAGTTACTATATAACCATTACCATACAAATAGGGTCAAATTTTTATGAAAAATCAAATTAATCTATATTTTATTTAATCTGATTGTTAGTAAGAATATTTACAAAGAAAAGTCAAATTTGTCAGTTGAAGAAGTTTAGAGACAACTTAAAAACCACCTGATTCCCATGTGCCACAGGTTTACAAAGGTGAGACGGGAGAGAAGGGCAGGACTGTTTGCCCAAATAGATTAACGGTTAAAGAAGAATAATCACTTCACTGTACCTACCTATTCTCTCCTTGCTCTGGCTATTATACCCTGTTTCCTTATCAGTCTTGTGAGTTATTTTTTTGTAGACTTTAAATCAATATTTTCTTATCACAATTTTTTAAATCACATAACTGAACATTTTATATTCCCATTTCTTAGTACTTAAACTGATTTTTGTTTTTTTAAATTCATGTGACACTCAACTGATTTTTGATAGTACTGTTCTTTAAGAGAAAATAAATATTGCTCCTAGAATAAACAACTTCGAAGTGTTAAAGACAGTGAAAAATTCTAATGAAATGAGAACAAATTATATAGTTTATCTGGACTCACTTGCACTTCACAAAGAATATATGTCTTTAACTATCTAAGTTCTGAGAGTATTTGGGTGATTTAGCTACATATAGGCCACATTCAGAAAGATATAATTCTTCCTTGAAGATTCCCAATTGTTACCTCAAATTTTTTAGAGGAAACGCACTTTTAAAATTAAAAAGGAAATCAATACGAAAACATAACTCAATATAAAATCATCTGTTCTGTGGACATCTACAGGAACACTTTCAACATGTAAATAGAATCAAAGTAGTAAAATTTTGACATTAGTCCAGACTATTTATAAACGAGAAGGCATTTCTAACATGAAGTTTTGAGAACAATTGCTCCCTTATAAGAACTTAAATATAATAGTATTTTAGATTATTTAATGAAGTTGACAAATATATTTAGGCAGCTGAGATTTTTAAGATTTTTTGGAAATGCAACAACTATTCATGGTTATGATTAACTGACATGTATTATGCTAACCCATACATTTCAGTGTTGAAAGATTTTTATACAACACCTTGTTCAACATTAAGGCAACTGACAAGTGATTTCAAAACAGCAAATTTAAACATGGAATGGTAGAATTTTGTACTTTTTTAGAAATTTAAGACATGCAAATGCATCCCAAAAGGCAGAGAGACAATGTATTAAAAGCTAACATGCCTGACCTAAGTGCATTCTGTTATCTTTTTCAAACAAATTTTGTAAACAAAACACACAAAAGAGACTATGTCATGGGTTAATATTTTTAAAGGTGCCAGAGATCCACATGACTCCCATGCAAAAATGATACTGATTCACACTCCAAAGTTAAATCCAACTACATGCAAAGTTGCCAACCTCTTAAAAGCCCAAACTCTGAAACTGAAGTATGTTTTCAGTTATCACAAAAGTAAATCCAACCAAACACATATATGAAATGCAACTTTCTTACATCAGACAATACATGTAATCTCAGATTATAATTTTAAAGTATTATATTAAAAACTGGTAAGCCAAGAATGTCTAAAAAGGAGCTAGAGAATATTTTTAAAATATATAAAAATACATATAAGTACACATACATATTATATGTGTATACACACATATATATGGGCTATGGGCATAGCTCAAGTCATAGAGTACCTACCCAGCATATGTGAGGCCCTCAGTTCAAGGCCCAGTACTGACAAAAAAAAATTAAAAATAAGAATTAGAAAAGACTGGGCTGGGGTGTAACTCAAGTGGTATAGCAATCACTTGCCTAGCAAGTGAGAGGCCCTGAGTTCAAACTCCAGTACTGCTAAAACTAAAAAGCTAAATTAAAAAAAATTTAAATATATATGTATATATATATATACACACACACATACATATGTAAAAGGCAATCTCTGTGTAGAAGGTTTGTAAATAATTTTAAAGTTTTTCTTTCTTTTTATTTACATATTATAATTTATTACATTTGAACATATATAATCATGAGTTATTAAAAAAGCATAATCACTTAAGAAAGTGTTAAGCTTTTAATATATGGAGAGCTAAAATGTGAGACTAGCTAATAATTAAGAATGTATTAATACAATTATTAGTGCTTTTAAAATAACAGAAATATAGATATATTGTATATAAAATCTCAAAGCATTATTCATAATATCTGGAAGTGGTCTAACTTTTAGCAACATAGAACTGATTCAATCACACTACACAGCATGTGCAGTGTTGGAGTACTGGAGTTGAAGAGCTAGGTTGAAATATACTGTACCGATTTTAAAAATAGTAATGCAAGATATTAGCAAAAAGCAATGGGGTGATAATATCACCCTATTTATGTTTTAAAAAACTCACATCTGTGGTCTTGCATTTTTAATAGGAAAAGGTCTAGATGTGTAAACACATTATTTTTTCCTACAGGGCAAGAGAAGAAACAGGAACTTTCCATGTTTATTCTATATACTTCTGCATTATTTGAGCTTTTTATGATGAAAATGTGTTGCTTCTGTAGTTTAACAACAAAAATTAAGAATGAAAATATTCTTACCCTTTTTATCCTACACATATGGTACATACATATGTACTTACCATCACCTGATTTATTAGTTGGTTTTTAAATTTTTTTTGTCTTTGTCTCAAGAGGATATACTACATGTTTTGTTTTGTTTTGTGCACACCTGCATCTCAGGTGTGCAGCAGGCATATACCATGTGTCATAAACAAAGAAACATAACAAAGAAAACAGAATGAATGAATCTATGCTGGTTTGTGATTTGTTGTCCAAACAGTGGCTTTGTCTTTATAATAGCTATAAAATGCCAGTTGCTCATAGAATTCAAACTTCAAAAATCTTCAAATGTTTTGTTTTAAAAACTATTGCTTTAGGATAGATATATTTGAAACCCTTAAAGTATAAATATGGTCCATATTTCAAATAAAATCATTTCAAATAAATATGACTTTTAAAAATATCTGTCTTTTACTTACAGCAAAATAAAAAAATTGAAATTAAAAATGATATTGTTTAAGGAACTGTGGATGCTAGATTAAATATTAAAATATTTTAAAATCAACCAGATAACATATTTTGATAGTTTATTTAATATAGTTCCAAAAATATATATGACCATTTCTGAGATAGTTAAGGATACAATTTGCCTTGTATTGATTTCACATAAAATGGATTTTAATATGATTCATCTCTGATCATTAAATTAAGCTTTTAAGAATCAAGTTATAACACAACTAATAGCCAAAACAGCTTCTGGCACCATAGAGCTACAACACAAATTTTAATTCTCTGGTGTTAGCTTAGCACACAAAATCAGCATGCACAGGACAGTGAGAAACTAAACTGCAAGACATCGCCACCTGGCCCATTTAATGAAGTATGGCAAGTGGTCGAGAAGACTGAATGTGTAGAAGGAATAGCGAGTGATCTCAGTCACAGTCCACGAGACCAGAAAAAGCACCACGCTCTCCTCATTCTGGATCTGCAGAATTACAGAGAAATCCTTGAACTTATTTTTTCAATGAGATATTTTTAAACTATTTTGTCTTCGATTATAATGGAATGTTCAGATTAGAAAACACAATGTAGGAAACAATGTAGTCACCATTATGAAATTAGTTATAAACAGGGATGCTAAGTATATCCTATGCAGAGAAATGATCAACTATTTACTGATTTTTCTCCCTTATCCTTTACTCTAGCCAGTATCTCCACCATTCCAGGACATCATCCCCGGGAAAGCAGAATGGGAACAATGTGACCTTCCCATTTTTTAATTTAATTTTATTTTTATGGTGCTGGAGATTGTTAAACTCAGGGCCTTCCACATGCTAGACAAGTGCTCTGCCCACCGAGCTACAGCCTCAGCTCCAGTAGTCATCAAATCACACAAACTCTACTATGATACTAATCCTGTAATCTGCCCACTCATCTTTATCCTTTTTATCATTATTTTAATTCAGAGCCTTAGCATTTCTTATTCAGACTACTCCAACTATTTCTTAAGTAATTTCTCCTCACTTTATTTATACTCATGGATGAAAGTTTTCTCTTAAAAACAAAGCAAACAAAACCATTAGAATCTGTTAAGTCTTATGATTTTGACATTTTGGTCACCCTTAACAGGCTGAAAAGATAAATCCTAACACCTGAGCCCAATATTGAAGGTTCCTGTAACTTCAGCTCAGAGATCTTTCCAGCTTCAACTCCAATAATTCAACCATCCCATCAACTTCTCACCCTGGTGATACTACACTTTATGTTATTTCTAGAATGTGCCATGAACTTTTGTGTATTCACAATATGCTACTTCCTCTAATTAGAATAAGGGAATGTTATGCCCTTATTGCTTCCCACAGAAAAATCCTTTCTCAGATTTTAAGACCCAACTAAAAGATCATACCTTCTGGAAAACTTTCCTGTTATGGTCTGAATATGAAAGGTACCCCTCAGCCTGAGTTGATAGCACTATTTGGGGAGGTGGTAGAAACTTTAGGAGGTAGGACCTAGCTAGAGGAAGTAGGTCACTGGGGGTGTGCCTTTGAAGGTTATACCTGGTACATGGCCACTTCCTCTCTCTCTGTTTCCTGTCTTCCATGAGGTAGTAACCTCTACCACATGCTCCTTCACTATGATGCTCTGCCTTACCACCAGTCAAGATTCAACAAAGTCAAGGACTATGGACTGAAACCTCTGAAACTGTGAGCTATAAGTCTTTTCCCCCTTAAGTTGTTTATGTTGGCAAAAGCTGACATGCATTTCCTGAACCTTTTTACTTGAGTGGTTACTTATTCACCTTCCTTGTTCTTACAGTACCTTGTTCATATTTATATGAACAATTTGAGTTCAAATTTTTTCTGGCTAACTCTTGTACATCTGTCAGTGCTCAATGTAGATGTCCATTTTTAGGGGGAAGCCTTTCCTCACTCCCTAGAGCAGACTAAACTATAGGTATTTATTATGATGCTTACTGGACTTTTGTTTCAAAGCGCTTAAGCCCAATATAATTAAATAAGTCTTTGTGTAACTACTTATTTCGCTTCTCTCTCAATAATTGGCTCCACAGAGTGGGAACCATATTTGTATTATTAGCAGCCAAATCCCTAACACAGTGTCAGGCATAGATTAACTATACATTTAGTACTTGTTGCATGATCAACACTTGTATGACTGCCCCCCACTTCTCAACATCCAGTACAGTGAGAGCTGGAATTGTCTTATTCATTTTCATAAATCCAAAAAATTAGCACAGTGCCAGGCATATAGAATGTGTTTAAGAAATACAGATGAATTAATTATAGAGTGGTTGATAAGATGCCACTGTGAAACTACTTTTGGATAAACAGAAATAGTAATTCTAGGGGGACAAATCCTGTGGAGGATAAAAGGAGCAGAAGGTTCTTTTTTCCCTTTGGGACTCACTGCTTTTCTTTAATTGCTTCTCTCAAGTTAATGTTGGCTACACCGTCTTTTGTCTTTCTTTTCCCTCTTCCGATTTCTTGTGGTCCTAACCCAACTATTATATTCACTCACTGCCTGGAGTAATCTTTTATTCTGTCAATATTGCACTCCTGCTTTCAAACTAGTAAGCAATCTTAATTAATAAAAAATTTGGCTCTCTGTGTGGCATATACACATTACTATCTATATGACAGTTCTGATTAGGGACCTAGTGGATCAAGCAAGTTGAATGAAAGATCCTAGTCAAGAGAACTGAAGTGTAGAGTAGTAAAAGGGCAGAAGGTCAGCGATCTGCCCCTATGCAGATGGAGGCCAGTGAGGCTCAGAGGAAGTAGAAAGGTTAGGTGTCAGCCCCAAGCACACAGGAGACAAGAAAGGCATCTGTGGAATGGAAAGGAGGCCAGAGATCTGTCCTCACATGGACAGGAGACTACAAGGCTGTCAAAAAGGTCAGAAAGGCTAGCTGGGAAATGTTTCTGACATGGCTTTAAAAGGCCCATATCATCACAGAGTCTGCATGATGTCTGTTTTGTCTACCAAGTTTAAGCTGCTAATTAGATCCAGTAATTAGGTCTTTCTCCTGTCATACATCCATGAATGTTAATTTTTCCCTATGTTACTCACCTCTAACTTTAAAAAATTATTTCTAATTGACAAATTTAAGTTGTGTATATTTATGGTACACCACCTGATGTTCTGAAATACAGACGAGTTAAAGAATGGCTAAATCAAGCAAATTATCATATGTATTACCTCACATGCTTCTCATTTAGTTGTGGTGATGCAGCATTAAGTCAATGTACAATGCTACTTAAAATCCAGCCCACCTCCTTTTTGCCCAATTGTTCTGCTTCCTGAAATATTTGTGTTAATATTTCAGATTCCTATTAACAAAAGTCTGTCCTGCAAGCTCAGGTAGACAACACATTTTCATTCCATAACTTACTGGTTTTATACTGTGAGTAATAAGCCACACCATGAAGATTCTTGAACTCACTTGGACCCCAGTCACAAGCACAGAAGTAGGAACAATTCCTGAAAGAGAAAAATGAGTCAACTATTGCCCTAAAGGTGATTTATAATAATAGCATAAAATTAAAGCAAAAACTCACCAATTAAACAGTGCACTATCTGTAAGCAAATAAAAAATCACAAATCAATTATATAAAACATAAAATAAATGCTTGTCAGCACTGCTATTAAACAAATCCGTAAGTGGTATATAATTAGCAAAATAAGACTGACATTGTTCAACAAAAATATTTGCAAATAAATAAACAGTATAGCACTGAAAATAGCATGATGAAAAACTTACCTCAAGCAAGGCAAATGTTTGGAAAAATTTAAGTGTCTTCTGAATACTTTTATATAAACCTCTGTGCGTTCCTTTTTCCATATAAAAGCGTACCATGGCAATAGCTAGAACCAACCACCTAGAGAAGATAAAAGAATTTTACAAAGTTCTATCAAAATTAATACCACTGCTCTGTACATGTGTTTATAGCAGTATTATTCACAATACTGAAAAGGTAGCAGCAACCCAGGTATCCATAAATTACTGAATGGATACACAAATATGTAGTCTATACTTACGATGGAATATTATTCAGCCTTATAAGAAGAATTTTCCATACATGTCATGACATGGAAAAACCCTGAAGGCATTATTATGTGAACTAAGCCAGTCACAAAAGGGCAAATACTATATGATCTCACTTATATGAAAGAAATCAAATCAGAGCGAGCAGAAAGTAGAACGGTCCTTGCCAGGGGGGAGGGGTAAACAGGACAATGGGGAGTTAGTGTTTAATGGGAACAGAGTTTCAGTTTTGCTAGATGATGTCGGGGAGGTGGCTGGTGATGCTGGCTGCACAGCAATGTGAATGTATACCTCATGCCAGTGACCTGAACATTTTACAAAGATTGAGGTGGCAAATGTCACTGAATGTCCTGAAAAGAAATGCCACAATTTATGTAGTAATATGCATGTTTTATTATGCTCAGATCATTACTCTGTTTTTTAAAAGTCCACAGGCGAGCTGGTGGAGTGGCTCAAGCAGTAAGAGTGCTTGCCTAGCAAGGGCAAGGCCCTGAGTTCAAACCCCAGTGCTGCCAAAAAAAAAGCCCACAATGGTATTTTTATACCAACTCTCCAAAGGAAATAACAACATATAAGAGACCAACTACAGACAAAACAATGTCCAGTGAATTTTGGGGGCTCAGCAAAGAAACGGATGGGCCAAAGAAATTAGTTCTATTTATCAAAACTTAAGTTGGGTGCAAGTGGCTCACACCTATAATTCTAGCTACTCAGGAGGCAGAGATAAGGAGGAGTTGAGGAGGACTGCAATTCAAAGCCAGCCCTAGCTAATAGCTCATGAGACCCTATCTCAAAAAAAAAAAAATCACAAAAAAGGGCTGGTGGGTGGCTCAAGGTGAAGGCCATGAGTTCAAGTCACAGTACTGAAAAAAAAATTAGTTTACCATAGAAGTTTTAATAATTATATAAAGGTATTGAGATCAAAAGCTGTCAAAAACTGTATATGCATAAAAAATATGTATTTTACACAAACAATAGTACATAATTATAAGTAGGAATCTTTAATAAGAATTATACTTACCATTTGCATAATTTTCACTAAATAAAAACAACTGCTATGCCATAGAGGGATACATACCAAAGATCAGATATGTGTCTGCTTTCAAAGAGTTTATTTTTAAAACCCAAAAAAATACATATATCCTTGCTTTTCAGCTTATATTTGTATATTAAATATGGACTCTGCTCCATGAGTTAACAGTACTTAAAATAGCAGCTACACAAGGGGACACCAGGTTTCTCATACATATTTCTTACTCTTCCTGGAGTCAGGTTCCCTTGCAATTATGAAAACATGTTGAAGGTTAAGAAAGTCGCTCATCTATGGCTTTTTAAAAGAATAATACATCCATGGAAATAAGTAGCTATCCCAGGTTTTAGGAGCAGAGATCTCCAAAATGTCTACTTATACAGATTTATGTTTACTCTAACCTACAATTTTAACTAAACAACATATAGTGGACAAATGGCTTAAAAAGATTCCTGCAAAACAAAAAAAGAAAAAAGCCTACTGACAGAATATGGTGAAAATGACAGCTGGACAGAACAGTATGGCAATAACAGAATGACACTTTCACCCCTAGAACTTTTCTTCCTCAGCACCTAATGAGGTAACAGCAGTGACCTGCTTTTGAGATATGACAAGAAGTCAGGTAAATGTCTAGAACAGTCAAAGACTTCTGAGATGCAGAAATATTAATGACACCAGCAGTGGCAACAGTGTGATTTCAGATTCTTTCTATGGTCCAGACACTGTTATATATTAACGCTTAACCTTCACAGTCACCCATGAAGTATTATCCAATTTTACTGCTGAGGAAACAGACTCGAAGGGACACACAGCTAGCCAGCTGGGATGGAAAGCTCTGCTCCTGGGCAACTACACTCACTTGGTCTGGCTCCAATTACCATGATTACATAGCAATTCAAATTTATATTATAAATGCATTATAAAAGTTATACACAGAGTCTATGCTCGGATATTTTAACTGGTAATAGTGTGCTTTCACAAAAGGTTGAAGGCCATTCTTTCAGACAAGACAGTCGTCATTCAGAGACATTAAGTGACTGAGCCCAAGTCTTGGAGTATGCTAATGGACAAAGCTGAAATAAGACTCTAGGATCTTTGATCCCAAGTCCTGTACTCTTTCCACTGGATTCAGCTCAATCTGGTATAAGAGCCAACACTGCATTCAGTGCTGGGATAATCCTAGAGTGCTAATCTGGACAGTGTTTTGGGCACCTCCCAAGCTTAAAATATTACAATTTCACTATCCTTAATTCCAAGTCCCTGAGCTTCCAATGACAAAACAAATAGCTTAATAAAGATGTTTTCATTCACATTTTTCATGCACTTGTCTGTTTCTAGGCAAACCCAAACTAGACAACTATAAAGAATAAATTTGAGAAGCAATGATTAACCTAACAAAGAACTCATCCAAGGATTAATTCAAATGTCATTTTCTACATTTTTGAAGAGCACTCTACAAAAACCCATGCACTGTAACTGTAACATTTCAAGTTTTACTGTTGTCCGTAGGTGGCAGCATTGTATCAAGTAGTACAGCATCACACACACATCAATCACTAAGGTTCAAAATAAATTAATGCACTCTGGGGTTTGAAAGGCCCAGCGAACCAACTATTCTAACCTCATCTGTTTTTCAGTAAATAAGGGTACCACCTACTCTAAGCTAACCAGAGCTCACTCCCTAATCCTACCATCAAACTGTCAAAGTTTCTCTGAGGACTCTACTGATAGCTAACTTTCGGCTTCCTTTATCCATTTGGTAAGTGATTATAATAAAAAATAAAACAAAAATCCAAAGCAACTGGACTAGCTCCTATTAGGAATTATTTTCTGACATGTTTTGTTCTGTTTTGGTTTTAAATATGCCACAGCTATTGATTACATGAACCGAAATAGATATGGTCTTTGATAAAACAGGTTCTATTCAAAAGAGAAAAATAACAAGAAATGTGTTACATATGTAGAAGATTTCTTGCTTGTTTCATTTATTCATTCACTCAGTTATTCATCTTTTGGGTTCAATATTTACTGTTAAGCCAGATATTAGGCTAACTGCTGGGGATACAGAGATAAATGGGTCATAGCTTTTGCCTCAGGGCACTCTTAAATTAGTAAGTAAAGATAACAGTATTTATCTTTACTTCTTTAACAAGAAGCAAGAATCATAACTTACAAAACACAGGGTCTTTTCACGCCATGATGGTTATAATAATCCTGAAAAACCTTATCTCGATCTTCTAGCTGACTTCAGGTATTTCTTTTTCTTCTGAGATTCCTCGAAGACAGACCACTTGTTCCCTGAAACAGTTATCTATGCCCATGCCTTCTTTTAAAAAATAATTTCAATATTGCCTTTAAATTTTTTATTGTAAGCAATTTCAAACTCATCAAATTTATAAAGAATGGTATAATGAACCCCCCATGTGCCCACGACCCAGCTTCAAGGATTATCATCTGATAGTCAACCTTGTTTCCTCCAAACATCTATGACTTCCCTTCCCTGATTATTTTGAATCAGATTCATAATATTCTGTAATATAATTACAAATGTTTCACTGTGTACCTCTAAAATGATTATTTTCTCAGAAAAATTATATCACTACCCACATCAAAACAGTAACTTCTTAATATTGTAAAACATTAAGTGAAGTACAAATATCCTCAATTGTCTCATAATTATTTTAAATCATGATTGAAATAGGCTTCATATACTGTAATTGGCAGGTATGACTAATTACATAACTCTTAATTTATAGGTTTTCTCCTCTGCCCTCCTTTCTTCCCTGGGTCCTTCCTTCCTTCTCTTTTCTTTTGCAATTTGTTCAATTTGAAAAATAATGACACTCTTATTTCCAATTTCCAAGTATCCACTTGGAGGCGTGTATGAGAAATGTCTTCAATTTTCATATATCTGTACACTCATAATTGTTCATTAACACCTTTAAACGGCCTTTCCAAGAATAAATTTTTACTTTCCTTTGTAGCCAACATATGAGTGTTTGAACTGATTGCACCTAGACACTTGTGCCAACAAAGAGTTAAGCTGAGGTTTTTAAGAGAAAAGACTGATAAACTGCACTTCAAATTAAGACCACCTGCTCTGAGAGACACTATTAAGAGAAGGAAACCAAGCCACAGCAGGTAGGAAACATTTGCAAATCACATATCTGGCAAAGGATTTGTACTCAGACTGTATAAAGAACTCTCAAAACTCACTATTAGGAAATCAAACAACTCATTAAACGAAAAACTCAAGAAGACATATAAGCCGCAAGTAAGCATGTGAAAACACTCAGCATCTTTAGTCACTAGGGAAATGGAAGTTAAAATCACAGCAAGACAACATAATATACCTATAGAATATCTAAAATTATGACGACCAGCCATACACCAAATGTCAGAGGGGATATAACTGTCTCATTCATTGAAAGTGGGAAGATAAAATAGTATAACTACTTGGGAAAAGTTTAGCAGTTTCTTAAAAATTAAACATGGGACTACTATATGACTGAGTCACTACATTTGTGGATTCTTACACACAAGAAAAACAAAAGCCTTATACATGATACATGAAGGTTCCCAGCTTGTTATAGCCAAGAACCCAAAAGTCCATCAACAGATGAATTGATAAATTTGTGGAGATCCATGCAACCAGTCCAACCTCCTCAGCAATAAAATTTATCTAGAAGATAAGGCTATTACTTAACATTTTGAGAAATAAACCTTGGTTTCATTGTTCTATTAAGTCACACTACATTTTCCGTGAAAATATCTTAAACTGCTTCTCTTTTTGCAAGAAGTGTAATTTTAAATTACATGTGGGGAATGGAAATGACCATTTTTAAACACCTACTATGCATCGGGTACCTGTGCTAAGAACTGTATACCTATTATTTCTTTATTTCTTATCCTAATCTAACAGAGTATTTGTATTGTTCAGTTTTACAGATGTGAAAACTATGTGTCGGAGAAGTTAAATAACATGTCTGAGGTTAACCAGCTTCAAAGGAATGAAATAAAATCTTTAATCAACATCTTCCTGTACTGTTAGTGCATTAAAATCCACCTGTAGGCAAGACACCTAAGGCCCTTCCACCTTCACTTCCCACTCTGCACACTTCAGGCCGTTGTTGTTATCTCACCAGATGTGTAGCAACTTCACATCTCTACCCTAACTCCTTCTGTCTTCTCTTCGATACCCATTAAGTCCTACTTATCCTTCACTGCTCAGTTCAAAGATTACAGTATCCCACACAAAGCGTTCTCTGGTTCACCCTACCTGTTTGCTTATCTACTTCTTCTCCTTCTATTGCAATCCTTATTTATACAGAAATTTCCCTAGGTTATACTTCTTTAAGGACAGACCTGGAAAATTTGCCTGATGTCCCCCACTTGACCTAGGACAATGCACTTAAACTTATGTTGAACAGCGGGTATGAGAGGGGACTACTCACTTCCTTAGTCAAGAACCTATTATGGATAAGTATCATAAAAATCCTTCAAAGGTGTAATTTTATTCCTGACAATTTATCACAAGCCACTAATTCGACGGAAACAAATCAAAGCAAAATACGATTATACTAGGCTTATAGAATTAGACAAGTTCCTTTTTATGCTTATGTAAACATGTATTTCTTTTTTTCTTTCTTTCTTTCTTTTTGTGGTACTAGGGGTCGAACTCAGGGCCTTGTGCTTGCTAGGCAGGCTATCTACCACTTAAGCCACACCATCACCTGTCTGGATTTCTTAAATGCTATTTTATCTTATTCTGTATTACTGGAAAAAGTCAGTAAGCATTCTAAAGTTCTGCTGAAAGAGAACTAAAAAGTTACAGGAACAAAAAGAACCTCCCTCGGTTAATCTTTGCTACTTCATTAAATGCAGATTTTGGCCCCAATTTTAACACCAACTCCAATCTTATCCACGACTATTCTCCAACATACTCCTCTTGTTCAATAATATACCAGAATAGCATCTCATGCTTCTTTCCAGAATTTATCTCACTTGAAATGTCTATCCTCTACGCATTCAAATCCTATTCCTTCTTCAAATCTCAACATCTCTAGAAAGCCTCCGCCAAAGTGGATTATTCCATATGGTTACCTTCGCCCTGTGGCTGTCTCAGTAGAGGCAGAGAAACAGATATTTTTAGGATAAGCACTGGTTTGCTGGGGAAGGGGAGGAAGAACAGGAATGAAGTGTGAGAACGCAAAAAAGAAAGCATTCGATTTGGCTCCAGATGAGGCAGGAGACCTAAGATATTTCAAATAGGCTGACTTGACTTGATTAGAAGTCAAGGGAAGAATACGGAGGCCATTGTAGAAAGAGCGAGCAGTCTGCGAAAAGACAGAGGGTACTGTGAAAATGCACTGAATTTGAGGAATCGTGAGTCAGAGATTTCAAATACAATTGTGGCTTGAAACGTAGAGTGACTGCCTAGCAAGCATGAGGCCCTGACTTCAAACTCCAGCACTGTCAAAAAAGAAAAGGAAAACTGGAAGGGGAAAATCTGGAAACAGACTGCAAATGGCCTTGAATAACAAACAGACTAAATCCCTTAGATTAAATGTCAGTGGGGGCAATGGAGGAGTCACTGAAAGCTTTTTTTTGGGGGGGGGATTGTGATTTTCAGTTTTGAATTTGCAACCTGGCCTTCAAAATGGAGTGGCCTGGAAAAAGAAGAGCCAGCCAGCCAATTAACACACAACATGTATTCCAGAAATGCTTATTAACTGCATGAGACTATCCCAGAGAGAAGAGAAGTTTCGCAGCCCGGACAGTATCTCACGGTGCAGCAGCTCATGGTGGGTGCTGGGTTCTTCTACAGTTGCTTTGAATACATGTTTTCTCTCCTTTCAAGATTATAAAATTTAGGAAGGCAGAGAGATGAAGTCACACAGACTCTGGAGTCTGGTAGTTTGGGTGGAAATCCACGTCTGCCACTTGCTGTTTGTGAATTTGACCAAGCGATTCAACTTCAAATGTTTCCTCACTTTTCTACAGGTTACAAGTACTTTCGTGTGTTACTGGGAAAACTAAAAAAAAAAAAAAAGTAAATATAATTTAGCAACGGAAACGCATCTTCCCGAGAGCTTTTGAGAAGCAGTTGACACAGCAGTCACTTGGACAGCTCTTTGAAGAGCGATAGTCATTGTGTAACCCTAACTTCCAAGTGACACTAAGAGCCAGATATAAAAGTCCAGGGTATCAGAAACGGAGCATGAGGCCATAAAGAAGCAGGACACGACTGCCATGCGCCCAGAAGGTAGAGTTAGTGTTTTAAAAACTCGTTCCAAGTTAAGAAGCTTTAAGATGTACCAAGGCTGAAAAAAAGAAAAAGTGGCGGTGACATAAAGAGTTAGGAAAGTGTCCAGCGACCTGTAGCAAGAGAAGCGCTGTCAGAGCCCGGGCGGGCCGGGAAGCGACAGTGCGCGGCACTGTCCGCGGACAGCTCCGGGCTTGGGGTGGTCCCCCGGTGTTTCTTCAACAGCAGCGCGAGGTGGCGGCCCGGCCGGAGCCGCCTTCCCAGCTGATCGGCTCCGCATTCCTGCCCGGGTCTATACTTAACCCCGCGGCCGCCGCGCCACGCCGTGCACCGTATTAGGCAATGCCCAGCGAGCAGTGCCGCGGCCTCCCCCGCGCCCCGCCCGGCTCCATTCAACCCGGGCGGCGGCGCCCCTCCCCCACGGCCACCAACCTCGCACCCCCTTCCCCCACCCCGCGCCGCGACCACCCAACTGTCCAGCCCCGTGCGCCCTCTCCGCCCGCCGCCTGGCCCGGAGCGTCCGGGAAGGAGGGCCTGGGGATGGTGAAGGCCCTTCGGGGCGCGCGTACCCTGCGGTCATGGCGATGTTGTAGAAGGTGAGCCAAGCGGTGGCCAAGAAGCCCAGGCGCCTCCTCTTGCTGGTGGCCTCTTTCTCCTCGCCTGCCTCCGAAGCGCCACCGTTGGTGCCGTCCTCCTCGCTGGACGCCATGGTGGCCGCGCACCCAGGGGACGTGGAAGACAGGGGTAGGGGAGTGGGAGGGGGCCCCGCCGAGCGCGCCTCCGCCTCGGTCCAGCGCCCCATGTGCCGCGCGCAGGGGGCTCGGCGCCGCGAGCTCCGGCCACCACCCGCCCCGCCCCGCCCTTGTCCCCGCCTCTCGGGAGCGCGCGGCCAGGGGCACTGTCACCCGCGCGCGCGGGGACAGGGGGGCGCAGGGCCGCCAGCCCCGGGTCGCGGTTTCCAGGCGGCACTGTGCTGTGCGCTCTCATGGAAGAGCTATTCTCCTGCTAGCTGAGAGCACCTCTTCCTCGAGAGATGTCCAGACTCCTGTGCGACGTGCGCCTTGCTGGTGCGCTCTGTGGGCTCAGACGCCACACACCTGAACTTGACCCGGCCTGCCCCGCCCAGTCTTGTAAAGTGGAGACTGGAAGAGGGGGACTCCGGTCCCCAACACTCACTCTGTAGCGCTTCTGGGGAAGAAGCGCTCAAGTCGCCCCGTGTCACTTTTACTGGCCAGATGGGCAGGTAAAAACGTAAATGCACTGAGATTATCTCACTTTCTGGGATTCTCCCAGAGCCAGGGCTCTAAAAGCACTGACAGAGATTCATCGTGGAAGCTTGGAGGTCAGAGGACGATAAAGAGGACATGACAAGACAACCAAAAAAGAAAAGTTTGAACAGATATAGATAACCTAGTCGTGGGGCCCATAAAACTCTTCACAGCAGGGAGAGTAGTGTCCACTGTGCACTACTCTTGTGATTCTCATTCTCGCTCCTCCCTTCCCTTCCCTTCCCTTCCCTTCCCTTCTCTCCTTTTACTCCTCTCTTCCTTTCAAGATCCATGCTTTTTACAATATCTCTTTCCAGTTTCACCTTAAAGCAAGCATGGGGTTAAGAAGCAGGCTTTGGAGTCAGATTAGTGAAATTTAAACCCCAAATCCCTGACTCCACCCATCAAATGAACTGTGTGAATTTGGGCAATTTAACCTTTTTATGCCTCAGTTTCCTCAGTTGGCATAATATTTTTAATCTACTGCATAGAATTGTTGTGAAGTTTAAGTGAAATTATCCATTAAAAAACACAGATACGCCTGCAACAGTTTGTCACCCCAAATCTGCTTGTTCCACTATTCTGTAACCCCGCAGTGAAAAGAATTCTGCACAGGGCAACAAAGGGATGGCCCCTACAAGCCAGTTCAGATACTTCTTGAGGTATCCTAGTCCTAGTGCTCAGAGTAAAGCCTTGGAGATAGTATCAAAGGGAAGAAAGGAGCAATTGGTTACCTCACGCAAAGCTAAAGAGAATACTGCTTTGAAAAGTAATTTGGCTTTTTCTTAAAAAGATCAACATACACTTGCCGTATGACTGAATATTTTAAATCTTGGTATTTAACCAAGACAAATAAAAACTCATGTTCACACAGAGACTTGGATACAACGTTCATAGCAGCTTTAATCATAGTAATCTCAAACTAAAAATAACCCATGTATCCATTCACACGTGAATAGACAAATTATAGTGTATTCATACAGTGGGATATTACTCAGCAATAAAAAGGATTAAACTATTCCATGTGCAATATGAACAAATCTCAAACTTTATACTGACCAAAAAGAAGCCAAGCACAAAACTTTATATGTTGTATGATTATTTTCATATGAGACTCCAGAAAAGGAAAATCTAATCTATAATGACAGGGTTGCCTGGGGCTGGGGATGTCTGTGAGGAGAACAGACTAAGAATAGACACAGGAGTTCTTTTAGGGAAATATAAATGCTGAATATGTTGATAGTAGTGGTTACACAGGCAAATAAATTTGTCAAAAGACATCATACTGGATGTGTAAACTGGGTGCATTTCTCTCTGTATATAATTGTTACTTACAGCTGACTTTAAATGTCATGAACAGCAAGTATTTTAAAGTTTAAAATTTATCATACTATTGATATGTTTAACATAATACCCAAGTATTGTGGCAGAACAGGTTTGTGTTTTGTGGTTAATAGTTTCCTTCCCAAATGTGCCTTTAACACATTGAATCTGACATGAGATGTACCTCACAATGGTTATGTTTTTTACAAAGCTCAATATAATAACATTTTTTATAAACCTTAAATATCCTAGGAATAAATAACATCAACAGATTTGTGGAACTGTCCCTTTAAAAAGTGAGTAATTTACTATGTTCTAGTTGCCCACATGAATGAAAAATGAGAGCTTATTCTCATGAAACTAGCAGGGTTTTATAGTAGATAAGAAAATCTTACAAATAATGAATTCCAAACTATCAAGCTATATTAGTAACATACTACTTCTCATGTGCCAAGCATGTTTTATTTGTTTGTTTTTGTAGTGCCGGGGATTGAATCCAGGGCTTTGTGCATACAAGGTAAGCTCTCTACCACTGAGCTATAGCCAACACTGTTTTGTTGTTTGTTAAGATAGTGTGAGGGAAGCAATGACAGAGGAGACTGTCATGAGAGAGGCTCTTTAGAAGCAGACATCTAAAGGGCCATGGAAAATAACAAGCTTCTCAGAGAAATAACAAGTCCTTTACCAAAATAACAAAATGTAGCTGCACAATCTGGGTAGTGGGCCCCAAGGCCAGGATGAGCTGTCCAGACCTTCTTGGAATGCTCTGTTCAATAAGAAGAGGGATGGACATGTGACTGAGTTTAGCAAGAAGCTGAGCCAATCGCAAATACAGTTTCAAGGTAGAATAGTCGGACCAAAGCCTCGCAGCACCCTATATCACTCCTAGACTCCAGCTATACTACTGCTTAGCTCTTTTCCCTAAGCCTCTTCCATCCATTGCTATCCTTTCAATAAACTTTGTACTTGCTTTATTCTTAACTCCTGGCCCAGCTTCTTCAATCAACTTCTCCAGGACCTGAATCCAGGATCCAGTTTCAATAGGATCTCACTACGTATCACTGGCTGGCTTCGAACTCTGGATTCTCCTGCCTTAGCCTCCAGAGTGCTCTGATAACAGTCATGTGCCACCAAACCCAGCTCTCCTTAATTTTTATGGATGTGAAAACTCAGACACAGCAAAGTCCTTCTAGAACTTACCTAGAATCTCCTTTAGAACATCATCAATCATACAAATTTGGCTCTAGACTAACAGATAAAAGTTAAGACTTTAAGTAAAAACCTTTAGTTCTATAGGTATATAATTAAGAACTTCATTCCTGAAGAACCATTTCATATCTTACAATATTGCTCACGAAAATAAAACAAAACATACACATATGCTATTATAAGCATTCATTCTATATGAATTAACAGAATATTAAAGGTATCGTTTTAAATGTTCCTTTGGGGAAAGCACACATCAGCAGAGATATAATCCAGGGGACTTCAAATGAAGTTGGCTTTTTTTTCTTCTTATAAATCTCCCTATAGCAAGCAAGTATGTTTTTCATTGTGCTAAACCTTGAATTACCTTCAAAACTGAAGTTATTGTTTTGATGAATCCTTGAATGGTAAATAGATTCCTTGGTGAGGTTTTCCTTTTCAAAGAGCCTTCAGAATATACCAGCTGAAGACTGCGTTAGAGAAATCACAATGAGTCCAGACTAGCTGGTAAGTGTTGCTAATCCAGTTAGCCAGTCTGTGGCAATTATTATGTATTAAATATGATCTTTATAGTGGAAGGGAAGCAAAAGTGGAAGTCATGAACTAAACGATAGTAAACTGGGAGACTTTATATTTATTATAAAACTTTTATTATGAAAAAACCCTGACACTATAAAGATTGCTCAACTTTTCCCATTAAATAAATAACAAATAAATAGCAAGCCAGTCACCCATGGCTCACTCTCTAATCCTATCTTCTTGGGAGGCTGAAGTCAGGAGGATTGAGGTTCAAGGATTGGGCAAAAATGTTCCCATTTCAATGGGAAAAAGCTGGGCATGGTGATGAACACCTGTTATCCCAGAGACAGCAGGAAGCGTAAAATAGGAGGATTCCTGTCTAGACCAGTGTAGCAAAAAGCAAGACCCTATCTCTAAAATAACCATAACAAAAAGGGCTAGAGGTGTGACTCATACCTTAAAGTGCATACCTAGTAAGTGTAAGCCCTGAGTACAAACCACAATACCACCAAAAACAAGCAAAAAAAAGACCAGTTGTTCTAGAATATCTCTTACAGAAGGAAAAGCAATCAAGCTGCTGAGGTGGGGTCTGAGACTGTGGTTTTCAAACATCTTTGCTTTCTCAAACACATATCTTCTCTCATTCTAAAGTGATGACCTAAAAATATTCATCATAACCACAAACAGTTGTAAAGGATGTAATTTCTGGCTACTTTTAACAGTTTTATTGAGCTATAATTCACATATAATACATATATCTATGAAAGCATCACTATGAGAAAAATAATGAAGATAGAATACTCCAAATATCCTTATTTCCTTTTTAAAACATCCAGTGAAGCCCTTTTGGTCTATAAGTAACTTGACTGGAAGCTTTGAACAAGAAATACAATTTCTTTAACAGAAGTAGAGTGACTTAGGTAAAATACTGGTTAAGATTTAGTCATTTGTGTCTTTGAAGGAATTTGTCATTTCTTCCACATTGTCCTTTTAATAAAGTCAGTCATTATAAGCCAGGCATGTGAGAGTATGCCTGTAATTACAGCTACTCAGATGGCAGAGGTAAGAGGATTGAGAGTTCAAAGCAGACTGGGAAGAGTTAGAGACACTATTTCAAAAATAAAATGTGAACAAAAAAGCACTTGCCTGGCATGTACCAGGCTCTGGGTTCAATTCCCTGTACCAAAAGAAAAAAAAAAAGGAAAAAGTAGATCACAATATTTCATTATCATTTTAACATCTGTAGCTTCTGTAGCGATGTCACTTTTCTCATTTCCGAAATTAATAATGTCTGACTTTTCTTTTTTTCTCATCAATCTGCCTACATTTATACTTTTATCCACTCTCCTCAAAAAACTAGCTTTTAGCTTTATTTATTCTCCCTATTGTTTTTGTGTTTACATTTTCACTGATTTCCATGCTTACATTTATTATTTCTTCTGCTTGCTTTAGGTTTCATTTGCTACTTTTTCTAGTTTCCTATGATGATACTTGAGATCATTAATTTGAGACCAAGAA